CTATTACCTGATTTTCTCACTGTTGGGTATCCGCGCCAGTTGTGACATGTTTGGATGCGGTGAAAATGGCGTAAAATGTACAAACGGGGAATACTGTGTACCTTTTCCAGGTCTATATTTTGGTAAATATTAATTTTTTTCTCATTTTTTATTGAAATTTTTATATGTATCTTGGTAATCTAAATGATGTGATTCAATTCTGTTAATAGAGTTCATTAAATAACTCGTTGATGCACTTTTTTATTGATGCACTTGACATTCATACCTGTTTGGCAAGTTTTAATTCGTGATTGCTAAAATAATATCAAATATATTTGAAATCTGAAGCAGCCAAAAGAAATAAAAATCATTTAACATTCAAGGTATTAAAACTGTAATTTATGTCCCATACAAGAAATGTATTTTAAACCGTTTTATTTTACGTACCCATAACAAATATAGTACGGTTTGAATGATGGGAGTGTTCTAGTTTTGATGCAAGTTCAACATCTAAATGCTACGCTTTTGACGGTCTATAGTTTCAAATTTCTGAATCCTGTAGAGCTATGCGAACCACTTTGCTTGTTTAATACACCCCTACATGAAGGAAATGGCGTTTATGATAACATATATATTAGTATCAATTCATCAAAATTTTTCACAGGCACATAAGAAGTCACCTTTCCCTTCTTTCAACATTGTTTTTACAGTTGATTTCATAAAAAAAAGTTGAATCCCTTTCTCCATACGAAAACTCGATTTAAAGGAAAAAGATTTCTATCTTATCTCTTTTTTCTTTAAAAACGATACTACGTGTCTGATAACATAACATACATGTAAAATATGTTAAATAAAATGAAAAAAAAAATAAATCTTATAATGCATATCCCGTCAACACGTCAACAGCCCCGTCCCATTTATAAGGCAGATTATCCCACGTTTCCAACTTACGTTGATGCTCCTGCACCGCCCGCGAGGCGCACTAGTTAGAGCGTCTGCTCTCGAGTCGCGAAGTAAGAAGTCAATCCTTACGTCGCGGGCTCGAATCCAACTGTGGGAGAGAACGGTCCTTCGAATAAGACAATATAAGGCGAAGTCTCGTATCGCAGTACAAGGTGGCACGAAAAAAATCCGTCACTGCTTAATGACCCTGAGTGCTGAGTATAGAACATGTAGATGGTGCTCACAGCTGTATTAAGCGACTGATCGTGTCATACCGAAGCCCACTTTGCAGATATTTTAAACTTGTAATAAGCTTGCTACATTGTTTGCATATGTCATATATTCTCCCTCACAATGTCCATTTAATTGTAAATTTATATTCTACGTATGAGAATAATAAGAAAATGACTCTATATTATATACTTATTGAATCAGATGTGGGGGTATCATTAAGTAGGCATGCATTGAACATTGGGGCGTCGGTTACCCCCACCCCCTTTTTCAACAGGAATAAAATTAAAAAAAAAGAGTAAGCAGTATATAGTGTTTGAAAAAATGGTAGAGAGAGAAATTAACCCACCCCCCTCACACACACACGAAATAGGATTTCCGGGATTAGAAAATTTTGGTCCATCAATTAACACCACCCCCCCCCCCCATTTTGCTTCCGACGCCAATATGTCAGAATTTGTACTCGTTATAAATTTTTATTTTGCATTGTATCATATAACTATAATATTGATTAATTTTATTGTAAATAATTATTTCATGAATCAGTGTATTCAGAGAATAGTATGTATTGATTATGTAATAGGAGAATGAAATGAAAAACACCCACAGGAATCAGGGCTAAAAAAGGGGGTCGGCGTCTTAAACCATTTCCCCCCAAATATAAATCATAATTAACCTCTTGCTGTTGAACTTGTTCATTGAAAGGTCTGTAAACCTACTCTCTTTTTGGCGGGGTTACAGTACAGTCAAGTTATCCTTTCATAGTATTTGTTTGTGACCCCCCCCCCTTTTTTTTTCGAAATATGATTTATAAAGTCCTGATTTGTTATCATTTATTTCTTTGTTAAAGAATGTTTCTAGGTAAGTTTTCACACCATTTATATGGAAACCCCGCCCCTTCCTTTAAAAGTGTTAAAATTGACAAATTATACCATAATGTTAAAAGTATACACGCTATAAATTGCGCCAGTTAAAATACGATTGGAAATTGATACAATTTGTTTATCAATAAAAGTTACGAAAATACTGTAAATTACACCATTAAAATTAAACGCGTTACAAAGTTATCAAACTATTATTATTTATTATCCTGCAAGGAAAGAAAAACAGCTATTTTTAAATAAATCCATCACGTGACGCCGTCGCTACTTTTAGATTGATAAATACACGTGGCGTAAAGAAGACAAGGTAGGCTGTTTGAAATACTACTCACTTTTGACGTGGATACTTAATGGAACTTTATCTTTTAATGTATTTCAGTATCAACCATCTTCTCTGTTATGACGCATATTAACCTAGCTTATATTAATAATTGTTGTCAGAATGCAACATACCTCGTTGTCTGTGATTTCCCGTGGACATGTGTTTCTATATATAGGCCTACTGTTTACGCACTTCCTTTATCAATATTCATGAAAAGACTGAATTCTTAATTCCTAGATATTGTTTCATTGTTTTGTAAATACAACGACATCTATAGTATAATTTTGTGGAAAGTATATTTTTTATTACACTTCATGTGTTTCAAATCATTAATCATTTCGTTTCACACAAAATTCGGCGTTCATGTAGCGTATATGACTTTAAGTATGATTTATATCAAAGAATCTCATCCAAACCCACAGGCCTTTGGATCGCTCAAAAAAGTTTTGTGTGTGTACAAATTTTTTTCCCCACCTCAATTTTTTTTCTAAGCAATCTAGCGGCCTGTCTCCAAACCGTATCAGAACTTCATCCAAACCGTACACAGTTTTGTAAACACTGGCATCTAAACATGTTTCGTTATTCTATAGCATATCACCATTGGAAAAGTTTCTTTGCCTCAAATTCGTGGATTAATGGCAGAGCTACAGGATAATTAATTAATATAAAACACAGGCTGTCTCTTAGTTGTAAATTTACATGTCTATTTTCAAATATGTGTTACTATAAATAGAAATAGAAACTTCTGCTTAACATTGTGTGTTTTGTATACAGTATGCGTTCGTTTGCTTGTCGGTCACTGAATGCCAATAGCAGAAAAAACATTTTGTCTGCAATTGTTCATCCAAAATGTGAAAATAATACAAAAACTACATTTTTCCGATAGTTTACAGTATATTTATTTTTAAACTTATGTTACTATATATAGAAATGGAACCCTTTACTTCTCATTCTGGATTTGATAAAAGGCTTTCTTTCACTTGTTGGTCATGATAACCATATGCCAGTAGCAGTTAAATACAGACAATCAGCAATTCTTCATTCAAAATTTGTCTGTCACTGAATGCCAATAGCACAAAAACATATAGTCTGCAATTGTTCATCCAAAATTTGAAAAAAAAATTACAAAATCTACACATTTCCGATAGTTTACAGTATGTCTATTTTTAGACTCATGTTACTATAAATAGAAATGGAAACCACTACTTCTCATTCTGTATTTGATACAAGGCTTTCTTTCTCTTGTTGGTCACAATATGCCAATATATAGCAGTTAAAAACAGGCAGTCATCAATTCTTCATCCAAAATTTTAGAAAAAAGTACAAAAAATAATATTTTTCCGATATTTTGCATCACGTCTACTTTTAAACATGTGTTACTATAAATTGAAATGGAAACCTCTGCTTATCATGCTGCATTCCATTTAATGTTCTTTTTTTCTTGTCAGTCACATAATATTTCATGTCAGTTAATGACAGTAAGTCGGTAAATTAACCATCTCTAATTTGAGAATTAGTGGAAAATCAACATTAAACATTTAATTTCATATGTGTCTATTTTTAGACGTTTGTGCTATTTATAAAGATGAAAGCCTGTCTTAAAAATTTGTGAGATATTATACTATTTCTTGTTCTTATTGATGAAATATTGGAGATATCCATATTTTTTATTAATTATGATCCTGTGGAGCTTCAGAATGAGGAAAGATTGCCATTTTTCATCATTTTTTGAGACATGTCTAAATTTAGGCATTTGAAGCTATAAATAGAAAATGGAAATCCCTGGAAATAATATGCATGGTAGTTATTGGTGTCCAGTCACTGAAATTAGCACATTGACTTTTACAGTATATTTCATAATTACCAAGCAATGGCATCTTAAACTCTGCCCGAATTTCATTTTTTGTATTTTTCTGAAATATGTCTATTTTTTTATACATGTTACTAAAAATAGCACTGAGATCCCACTCCAATTTTTTCATGAGTGGACGCTACTAAAACTGCCGTTTGACGACACGCATATGATTTGAAAAAGTTCAGTAGACATTTTTTTTATTTAATCTTAAGTTTCTCAAAAAAATGCCAAATTTTCCATTTTTTCACATTTTGATATTTTGCCGAACAGTTTTCTTAGAGTGGGTTCAATTTTGGAATTACTGGTTATATGCCCTGTATTATTTAACAGATGATGTTTTCTTATGATACAAAGATTTATATTTGAGTTTACTACATAAAGATAAAAATGCATTCATATTTCCTCAATTTTTATGTTTTTGTTTGGTCAAAAATGGCCGAAAATGGCCAAATTCAATGGATCCGTCTCCCTGGCAACCGGGTGCACGTGGGAAACTTCACACATCATATTTGCTGGTTTTGTACCAAGGTGCACCTGTGGTGCAAATTTCATCAAAGTCGGAGATATGTCGTTTCCAAGCCCTATAGTAAATTTTTTGGTGCTTACAGAGAAGGAATGTTAAGATGAAGGAAATCGTTTTTGAATACTGTTCGTTATTTCCATATCCTTCTTGTAACACTTCTTAATTAAAACCTTAAGCGTCTTATTAACTGACCTATTGTCCACCTTTTGCAGTCCTTTTGGAGGACAAAAACTTGTAATTTGCTTTGGTATTGGCATTGAAAAATAATTAGTGTGCTCTCATGTCTTCCATGAAATCCTGCTTATTGGCCTTATCAGTTTGAATTCTGTCGAAAAATCTGTAAATAGGGTTTAATGAATATAAACCTTAAAGGCACTCAGTCAAAAGTTATGATAACTGACATTATGCACAATTTCTTTTCATTATTATCATTATTTTCACATTTTCAAGTATTCCTTCAAACATACCTAGAAAAAAAATCTGAAAATTAAAAAAGATAAACTTATGAAAGAACCGAGTTTTAAAATGCAAAATTATGCTCCCATTTATCTTCTATAAAGAATTTTAGGATTTAAAGTAGTTAAGAATTAATTTCTTGATAAAGTGAAAGAAAATCTCCCACCAAGAACTATCACCCCACCCATTTTTGAAAAACTTTTCTCTAAAGCTTTCCTTAGTCATTTGTGGTTTTCCTGTTTTTCCTTCCATATACTTTTCATACTGCTCATTGAAAAATTGTTCTGACTGTTCATACAAATGATTGGTGTACATCCCAGCTGAATAATTTTCCAAATTCCGATTAATTATTTTGATAAGTTCTATAACTTCCTTTTCTCTTTCTTCCTCTTTTCCCTTATAGCCAAATGCAATATATCGTCCCTGTATCCGTTGTAGAACTTGCTTCAGAGGAGAGCTTAAAGGAATAGTATTAATATATTTTTCTAAATTATTATCTAGCCCAGGTTCGGCTAATTTATATTTGTAAGTGAAAACCACAATCATAAAATTTGTTGCATTATGGCCGAAATAACGCTGAAATATTTCGACTGTTTCATCAACTCGATCATCAATCCTCCCAATGGGTACTACTAAAAGGATAGCATGAAGTCCTGGGGAGGTGGCGGCATAGCATTTAGTAATCTCCTTTAAAATATCCATGTTGTTTGTATTTTTGTTTGTATCAAATAATCCAGGTGTATCGACCACAACAAGTTTTTTGTAAAATCTATAGGCCCTTCCAACCTGTATCATTTTTGTGACAGATGTTGTTGCTGGAGCAGATGATTTAAATACTTCTTTCCCCAAAATCGTGTTCCCCGTAGAACTTTTCCCTGATTCCGTCTTGCCAATAAGAAGTATCCTCAATTCTTGCCCTACAAAAATATACTGTACGTATCATCTCAAGAGACATATCTTCAGGTAAGTAAGAGTGTGCCGCCACTCTACACAAACTACGTTTGTTATGTCATTTAAACGTACATTGCAGGATCTTTTTGCATATACATTTTGACACTGATAAATATAATTATATGAATAGAGAATACTCAGCAAGCAGGATCGGGGCAATGGAAGAGAGGCTTATATAATTATATACCACGTCAATTCCAGATCCTAAGAGCTAAATACAAGTATATATATATATAAAAAAAATCTCAAATGGATACATTAGCGATGGTCCATTTACTGGACAAGTGATATCTTATTAAATTACAATCACTTTTCAAAATTTTGAGCACAATTGGTAGAACAAAATGAGGAAAAACATTTGGCTTTCAAAGATATTTGAAGGTGATAGTCATTGTTTCTTATTTTGTAACTCACTATGCCTTGTTTAATGTCTTAATTCAACTTCAACTCAACATTCAAGTAAATTGAAGACATTAAAGCTATATATGCCGTATTAGTGTTTTATTTCAAAAGTAATAAATGTATGTAGTGTCTCATCAAGTTATATAAGTTATATACTTTCTGCAAATAAGACAATTCTACTCCAGCACTTTTAAAAGTTATGAAATATTATTTGGTAAAAATTATTTTCTCTCCGTGTCGGATAAAAAATCGCCTCTTATTGAAATATTCACGATTACGTTGTCTGGCATGTTTACAGCAAACAATGGACCAATCTCGTCAACGAACCGAAAAGCATGATGGTCTACTATGTTTTTACTACAAACATGTGAGTTTGGGATTGTCAATTTTGAGAGCACCTCAGAGTTGGTTGCATTTTGTACCGAGGAAATAATCACGTGCAATTGTCTTTTCAATGGACATTTTCGGGTGGGTGAACCTCCAAAGCTGTCAACGACTTTGGATAAAGAAGTGTGGAAACTATGTTGCGCCAAAATGAAACAAAATGATATAATTTGATCAATTAAAATGGTTATTAGATACAATCGATTCTGCATTTCTTAATGGTTCAAAACAACAAAAAGTATTCCACAGAATATCATGTATAAATCTGCACAATATACCGAATGCCAAAACCAGAATACTACTAAATAATATAATTATATTCATTACATATGAACCACAGTATTTCTGACACCTTGAAAATAACATAAAAAATCTTGCAAGTAGGTTATCATCATTGGCTCGACTAATTGAAAAAAGAAAGGAGTTTGGCAGTAAATTGTGGCGAATGAATAAAATTTAGTAGTGAGATATTAGAACCTATTTTACTTGTCAGATTTCTTCGAGCTAGTTGACTTTTATTCTAACTGTTCTATCCCCCAACCACTTAAAAACGATGCTATCTACCTCAGTTAATTTTTCTTGTGCCATCAAACTGGAACAGTTTTTAGAGGCCTGGAATTCTTTGACCAATTTTATTTTATTAGCCCAACTATATTTCTATGAAGGCAAGATGTATGGTAAGTTTCATCTACATATGTTATGAAGTTCATATCAAAAAAACTAAAGAGAATAATTGACAATATCTCATTCTGGCTGTAAACATATCAGTTCTTTCCATACATTTTTTTGACATAAAATATCTTTTGCACATAATGCGCTCCATTCATACTGAAGATTCGTTAATGTTCATCCAACCGAAAATGTCCACTAGCAGTACAGAACAGGGACTCTCAACAAACGGACCTATACAATGGAGAAGGGAAAACTTCAATTTTCATCATTGTTAATCATTTGTATGCAAATATGAGCATGGGATTAGTAGACAATAATGTTCATAATGCATTAAGTCTCTCTGAGAGCGATTTAAAAAAACAAGCCTTTTTGAAAAACACATGTAGTATTTTATGTAGTAAACCATAAATGCATTAAATGAAACTCAATGAGCTGATTGGTCTATTTTTGTCCCTCACTGAACAGACGTCACAAAAAATATTTTCCTCGACCTTATGATTCTCGCGATGCTTTTCCTGCGCACATGCGCAGATCCATGATAAACGTCAGTCCTTTATAAAATATGCATGAGAATACTGTGTTCTTTTCATGACCAGTACTTTGTTAATACTGAATAAAATTTCGTCGAATCCGCAAGAATGTTTCATTTTTGGTAGATTATCATACTCCAGAAATTTTTGTTCGGTTTCAGCTGTGCGAAAATACTGTTTAACACATATCTTTATATAAGGTATGTTTGAAATAATTTAATATATGATGGACTTTTATATTTAATCTTTACGTGGACTCAATATATTCCAGTGAACTTAAAATAGAAAAACCTAAAAGTCTAGATCTTCCAAATCTGTTTTATATTTGCAGGATTATTTTTTGTTATAGAAAATAAGGACGGACTTCGACTATTTAAACATTCATTGAGTATGAAAGACAAGATGACTTTTACAAGTTTTGATGAGTTTTTCAAATGTTGTAAAAATGTGGTATAAGCTAGGTAGTTAGCAATACACATGTTGAATAAAGTAATCTAATCATGCAATTCTTTTTGTAATATAATATCTATTGTGTACAATCTTACCTTTTGACAGGTCTTGGCACATTCTTAAGTTCTTTCGAAGTTCTATGTAAAAAAAAGAACTATATTTTAATACATCTGTTGCTCACACAATGACAAACTTACACCCATCCAACCCCATCAACCCTTGAAAAAACCATATATATATATATATATATATATATATATATATATATATATATATATATATATATATATATATATATATATATATATATATATATATATATATATATACATATGTCCACAATGTTATTTGAACGATGACGTCATGTAAATATAATCCGAACAATCTACACTGCCTGATGATGCTTCCTTATAAATATGATCAATTATGCCTTTGACATTCTTGAGAGGGTTTTTAAAGAATTTTCCTTTATATTTCTATGTAAAACTGGTCGGCCATTTTGGCCCTGCCCTACCCCGGGGGTCATGATTTGAACAAATTTGAATCTACACTACCTGAGGATGCTTCAGTATAAATATAATCAATCATGGCTTGGCTGTTCTTGAGAAGAAGACTTTTAAAGAATTTTTCTTATATATCTATGTAAAACTGGTCGGCCATTTTGGTCCCGCCCTACTCCCGGGGGGTCATGATTTTAACAAACTTGAATCTACACTACCTGAGGAAGCTTCAGTTTAAATATGATCAATTATGGCTTGGCTATTCTTGAGAAGAATATTTTTAAAGAATTTTCCTTATATATCTATGTAAAACTTTGGTCGGCCATTTTGGTCCCGCCCTACCCCCGGGGGTCATGATTTTAACTAACTTGAATCTACACTACTTGAAGATGCTTCAGTATAAATATGAATAATTATGGATTGGCTATTCTTGAGAAGAAGATTTTTAAAGAATTTTCCTATACATATATCTATGCAAAACTTTGGTCGGCCATTTGGCCCTGTCCTACCCCCGGAGGTCATGATTTTAACAAACTTGAATCTACACTACCTGAGGATGCTTCAGTATAAATATGATTAATTATGGCTTGGCTATTCTTGAGAAGAAGATTTTAAAAGAATATTCCTATATATTTCTATGTAAAACTTTGTTCAGCCATTTTGGCCCCCGCCCTACCCCTGGGGGTGATGATTTGAACAAATTTGAATCTAACCTTCCTGAGGATGTTTCCACATAAGTTTCATCTTTCCTAGCACAGTGCTTCTTGAGAAGACGATTTTTAAAACAAACCACCAAATTTTTCATTAATTCCCAAATATATCCCCTTGAGTAAGGGCGTGGCCCTTCATTTGAACAAACTTGAATCCCCTTCACCCAAAAATGCTTTGTGGCAAGTTTGGTTTGACATTTACCCAGTGGTTCTTGAGGAGAAGTCGAAAATGTGAAAAGTTTACAGACGGACAGACAGACAGACAGACAGACGGACTACGGACAAAATGTAATCAAAAAAGCTCATTTGAGCTTTCAGCTCAGGTGAGCTAAAAAAAAACCTTCAAATGGCTTGAACAACGTCACCATTTTCGGATTTTGTAAGCAATGTACGACGCTGAAGAATGACGCATGACTCGCTCGTATGTGCAAGACGTGTATTGATATTATACTAAAAACTCATGACAGAACTTCCCAAGAAACACATTAGCAATCTAAAAATTGCTCTTTAACCGAAAAAATTGTATGCACCGATCATTCATCTGCAAAGATAGGTATTTGTACATACCATAATATGACAATTTTAGAAGTATTGAGCTTCGAAAAAATAAATTTAGTAATTACTACTTAGACCAACCTAGATGGTGAACTTTTTTGCTATTTCACAATTTGGTGATTTTGTATATTAACTTTCAATTACTTAAATAAAAAAGAAATTCCTAGGGCAGAAATACAAAAAATATGGAGAAAATGTGATAATTTGGCGATTTTCAAACAAATTTCCATAGGATCCAATAGTAAAATCTGACAACTTTTGAGATGGCCCCCTAAGAAATTGGGCTTGTAAACATTCGATTTTTTTTTTACCCTAAAGCAATAAATATAACAGTAAAAATTAAGTATCAAAAAATTATCAAAATTCCTAGGGCAGAAATAATTAGACTCGGCCTCGTTAGGAAATACAAGTCATTCTCTCTAGTTTTGTTGTTCGCAAATTAAATGCTCAACTTTCTCTTATAAAAATCACGAGCAAACATTGAATTGTCAACTTTTTGCATGTCAAGAAAACACAACAATGCTCTCAAACGATTAGATTCTGCGAGTTGAACATTTTGGAGAGAATCTCAAAATCAGCGTATATTGTCTGTAAAAGCAGTGGTCTGCGATACCAGGGTATTGCATGTCGAATCTGTGACATCGGGTATACCGTACAACTTTCTATAAAACGGAAAAAATCAACGGTGCATTATATCAGTTCATGTTACTTGTACTTAGTATCTTTGGAGTTTATTTTTATTAAACCCAATTTATTTAGATATCTGACAAGATTAAAATCACACGAAGCACTGTTTGGTCGGCAAAAAAGTAAACAATGGCGTAATTACCTTCAGTGCATTTTTGTCCCCCGCTTTCGCGAAAGCGAGGGGACATTAAATCTCATTCGTCTGTCTGTCTGTCCGTCTGTCCGTCAGTCTGTCAGTCGGTCAGTCTGTCAGTCTGTCCGTCACAAAAACTTTAACCTTGCCCATAACTTTTGATTTAGTGGAGCTATGACTTTCATATTTCACATGTGTATTCCTTGTGATAAGACCTTTCTTTGGGTTTCACCAAATTTGACCTTTTGACCTTGACCTTGGAGTATGACCCACTTTTGCACAAAAATTCCAACATTTTACTTTGGCCATAACTTTTGAGTAGTAGGTACTAGGACTTTCATATTTCACATATGTATTGTATGAAGCAAGACCTTTCATTGGATAACAACAACCTTGACCTTTTGACCTTGACCTTGGAGATTTAAGTACTAATGAAAAAACTTTAACCTTGACCATATCTTTTGAACGGTAAGGACTAAGGCATTCATACTTCACAAATGTAATCCTTGTGAGAAGACCTTTCATTGGATAACAACAACCTTGACCTTTTGACCTTGACCTTGGAGATTTACGTACTTATGAAAAAACTTAACCTTGGTCACAACTTTTAAACAGATGATGCTAGATCTTTTATATTTCACATATGTATTCCTTGTTGCAAGAATATTCATTGGATACAAACAACCTTGACCTTTTGACCTTGGAGATTTAAGTACTTATGAAAAAACTTTAACCTTGACCATAACTCTTGAACGGTGAGGGCTAGGGCTTTCATACTTCACATATGTAATCCTTTTGAGAAGACCTTTCATTCGATACCAACAACTTTTACCCTTTGACGTTGACATTGGAGTTTTACCTACTTAAAAAAAAATTTAACTTTGGTCAGAACTTTTGAACAGTAGATACTAGGACTTTTATATTTCACATATGTATTCTTTGTGGCAAGTCCTTTCATTGGAAATCAACAATTTTGACCTTTTGACCTTGACCTTAAAAATTTGCATACTTATGAAAAAAACTTTAACCTTGACCATAACTTTTGAACAGTAAGGGGTAGGGCTTTCATACTTCACATATGTAATCCTTGTGAGAAAACCTTTCATTGGATATCAAAAACTTTGACCCTTTGATCTTGAACTTGGAGTTGACCTACTTTTAAAAAAACATTTTACTGTGGCCATAACTTGTTAACGGTCAGGATTAGGGTTTTCATCCTTAAAAAAATTCAACTCCAGTGTTACTTTCTAAATAAATTACATATGATAGTATGTTCATATTACCCACAATATGTCATAAAAAATAACATTTCACCCACAAAGACACCGAAAGCGGGGGACCACAATTCTTTGAATTTGCTTGTTTTAATTATTATAAAATTTAACTAATAGGTACATGTCGATCGTCTGTGTTTATTTCCTTATAAATCATTCCCCAAGTTTAAAATTGGCTTTGGAAGCAATTGAAATACGGGAGGCTGAATGGAGGTGAAAAGAGCTATTGTCCAGACACGAAAATCTTATTTCGGTGGAGATGGGGCTAGAAACAAACTTCTTTCTGTTCAATGGACTATTTTATGTTTTATACACTACAGGGTCTGGTTTAAAGGTTGGGCGGGTGTAAACCTTCGCCCAAATGTCATATGCCTATATAACATATGTCTATCTTTGCAAAAAAAGTAAGAGGTAAGCACACCCCCAACGTTTCTAACGCCTATGTTTAATTTTTCGAGGTGAGGTAAGTCAGCATTGATAGCTGATCTATAGCTTAATGGCGCACCCCTGTGATCACTACCATTTGTCTTTTCAATTGATCTTTGCTCTTTCGGACTATTCAGTAATCTTGTTGTTAAAATGTGATACGTTTAAGTGGAAATTTAAGCGAAATGCAAATTTAGCTATTTGTCCTTAAAACTGGTATTTTATTTTTAGCGAGATGTTATTGTAGCGATTTTAAAATGCATATTAATAAAGTTATTACAAATAAAACACAATTGAATTTTAGCGATCTCGACACCCTCGCTAATAATGCCAAAATTAAATCCTTGCTAAAAAATTCTACCTAAGAAGGCAAGGTTCAAATCAGAGATCGTTGCTAATATGTACATGTGAACAACAACACTTGCAAGATTAATAGGAATTATTCAAAAGTTAATTTTAATCAGTTCTCTGAGAAATATAATCCTTTGATTTTTTATGAATTGAAATCAGAATTTCAGTCACCAAAAAATCTACAATATATTCCATTTGATTTACAGGCAATAAGTAGTGTTATTATGGATTAACAAATACTAAGTATATAAGTTCCTAAGTGAGAATAAGATAATTATGAAGTATCTCTGAACTATTTTAGCGAGTCTAAAATGTAAACAACTGGCTGCAGCAGAGATCGTGACCTACATGTTTGTGTATTGGACGTCGATTGCAGGCAAGGGAGAGAACAGAACAGTATACACTGAAACAAAACAGAAGGAAGCGTTCTGCCTGAATTGAAACATGCAATTAAATAAATTTGGGGTTAACACAGAGGCATCTGCGGCACAATAGTCCATA